TGATTAAAAAAAATAAAAAAAAAGTTTTACGTAAAAAAAAAAGAAGTTGAAAAATAGACCGTGGTAATATGTATATATGCGATAATTCCTTACGTTAAAAATTGTCCTTTCGGGGACATCCGATTAAATTGAAACGATACAGAGAAGATTAGCATGACCACGGTACAAGAGTGACGCGCATAAATCGAGAAATGATCCTCACGTTAAAAATTGACAAAAACATATGTAGATAAATGATTCCTTTTATATTTACTCCAACTAGTACAGAGCCCGTGCGATGTACGGGGTCCACAATTTTAAGGTCATCTATCCAGCCTTATAATCATATAAATGAATAAAGAAAAATGTACTGGATATATATAGTACGTGACATGTGCGAGGCACGGGATATATTTATTTAGAGATTATTATACTATAAGATGCAATATTCAATAAAAGTTTTACAGTACACGAAAATAAATATAAATAATGTAAATATCTAAATAAATACACGATATGTAGAATAAATAAGTCAAATTGCAAATCTGAAAATATAATAAAAAAAATCGAAAATATATTTCACTAAACATGTACAAAAATATCTAAATACATACACGAAAATTAAAAAAAAAATAAAATATACGTTTCAAATTTCAAAATTAAAACAACAATTCAAATAATTTGGCTTACAGTTTTATCATGCAGAACCAACTCGAGATATGATTTTTATGTGCTACCCCAGTCTTAAAAAAACATTCTCACAATTCGAACTTTGGGCATAGGTCTATTAGACCTATTGACTTGTTTGATTAACCTAAATCCTTGATTCATTGTTTTGAATAAAAGATTGATTGAGGATATTTTTTTGTTCGTAGGAGGTTGACAGTGAGAAAGATGATGACTCGATATTTTGAGATTTGTAATTTATAACGGGTAGAGTAGATATATATTCCTATTAATATTTTTATTAGAAAATCTGAATCTTAATATACATAAATCGGTTTGAACAAAATCAGAACAGATTTCCATACAATTAGATAATAAATAAAGCCTTTTTTTTATTTTATTTAGTAAAGATTTTACGTACTTTTTTTTTTTGCTTTTTTTGTTAAACCGCTTTTATGAGATATAATACAAATACAATTAGAGGATTGAACAAAAACCAGAACTGATTTCCATACAATTAGATAATAAGAAGGAATTAGATAAGGAAAAGAATGAATTAGATAAGTAACTTTAAATATGCATTTTTTTAGTATAGATAGACTTTACGTACAAATTT